ACCCCAAGCACAGGGCCAGAGGGCAGAATCTGCTGATATGCATTGCAAGCCAGATGTTGCCTGGTTTGATCAACCTCTTGGGGAGGTTGCTGACCAGGATGGCTGTCCAATTGAAAAATCAGGAGTACAAAGCTTTGCCAACCCTCAGAACCAAATCAGGGATGGCTAGGAGAGGAGCAGACCCTGTGAATCGCTTGATTTTATTGAAAAGACTCAGGAAAATCAGAATCAACAGGAGACACATTGCAACCACACATGAGGACTTGGGATTGGCCACAACAAAGCTCATGCAATTTGAAGGCTACCTTGATTGCCTCCTCCATGCCCAAGCACTGATGCGCACTTTCTCTGGCCAAAAGAAACAGCTCAGTGTTGCATGGGACCCTTCCACATATGGTGGCAGGGAAGTGCTAGTTGCTGCAATGTACCATCCTGGCCTGGACAAGGCAGCCTGGCTGCTCAACCAGGAGCTGGGTCCAGTGATGCTGTCTGAGATTGATGACAGCCTAATCAAGCTGGCAAGGACCCACAAGCTAACAAGAATAGATGGTTACAAAGAGCTCAGAGGGCTTGCATCTGCTTTGAGAAGTGTTGGAATGCAAATTGATGATTTTAGGGTGCCCCCAGGCCTTTGTTGCAGGCCATTGGCTGCACATGAGTTCAGGATCCTATCAAATGATGGGAGGTCTTTCTTGGTGTATGATGAACAAACTGGAGTGTGCAAGCCAGAGGTCCCTGAAGGGCTTTTGCTGGGTGAGGTGCCAGTACTCCTCAGTATATCAGACCAAGGTCCCTCCAACACAGCTGCATTGAACTTTGTTCAATTCAGCAGCAAAGCATTAATGGTAGCTGTTCAATATGATAGTTTCCATCGATCCTGGAATGACCTGAAGCTTGCATTCAAGCGCACTTCCTTCAAAGCTTGGAAAATACTATTGCAGCTAACCATGATTGCAAACATCCCATATGGTCCCTATGGGACCTCACAGTGGTGGTTCAAGAAAAAGGCCTGGGCAGAAGACTACTTGACCACCCAAGGGATTGAATCTGAGAGCTGGAGGGCACATCAGCATCTGATCTGTTGTGAAAAGAGGATGCCAGAACCAAAGGCAGAAGAAGATGCTGAAGCACTTTTTGCCTCCATTGCAGCCATGCCATCATTGAATGAGAAAGGACCTCTCATTAAGTTAATGAGATGGTTTTCATTTTTTGAGAGCATGGTGTTCCTGGATGGGCAGTTCTGGATCACAAAGTTGATTCTAGAAGAGTCTTTGAGGACCAGGCCTCAGGAAGCATCTAGTGCAGATGAAGGGGAGCCCAGACCCCAGGGAAAAGAAAAAGACCCCAGGAAAGAACTTGCCCAGCTGAAGAAAAGGAAGGGGGTTCTTAGATTGGCACCAGAACTGATTACTGTGCAATCTATGACAGCAAAGGACTGCATGCTTGCTGTGGGGAAAGCAACTTGGAAGGCTCATGCCAGCAGAGCCAGGGAGGTCACAAACCCCCTCCAAGTCCTTCAGTACAACATTGGGTGCTGTTCTTCCAGGCTGTGGGCCCATGAGCTGGAAGAAATGGTCCAGACATGCTTATGGGACACCAAGCACTTGCAGCATGTCCTCCCAGAATACTGTATTCTCTCAGAGGCACTCCAGTGGCACAATGAGTTGTTTGAGAAATTGCTCCAGGCAAGGGCTGAAAGCCTGGTTGCATACAATGAGCTTCCTCCAAACTGCTATCACCATTCACTCTCTCAGGGCCAGGAAGTCTCCAAAAGGGCCTGCAACAAGGCAAACAATGATTTTAGAATCCTCTTGGAGGCTGAGGCAGCACAAAGGTGTGGAGCTGACATCAAACCTTTGGCCACCATGTTCTGGGCCCAGAGCCCACTTACCAGAACCCTCCTGCTCGCTTATGAACAAGACAGAAGGCTAGGGAGAGAGGGAAATCACCAGACTGGGCAAGCCACAAGGCTTCAAGAAGTCCTCGCAAAGAGCCTGGGAGACTCAAGGATCATAGAAGTGGGCCACCAGAGTTCAAAGGACATTTTGAGAAGCTCAAAGTCCAGCACCTTTGGAAACACAAGTATTTTTTCCAAGCTCCTTGCTTCAACATCCCTGCAAAAAAGAGGTGTAGCTACTGTGCAGGTAGCTGCCAGCACCAAGGTTCAGGCATCCCTGGGTGACAGGAATCAAGGTGTGAAGAAAGGCATGACATGCAAGGGGTTCAGGTTGCCCAAGGACATGCAGGAGGTCATGGTGCCAAAGACCAAGACCAACACCTGGCCCTCACCTTCACCAGCCTCACTCTTCCAGGCTGCAGCCTCAACCCAGTGGTTGTTTGAGTACTGGGATGGTGCTGGCATGTTCAACAATGTAGCCTGCAATGATGCTTGGAGATCATGCCTTGCCATGCCTGGAGTGGCCATGGCACAACAGTCTACTGGGACACTGGTCAAGGTAGTGGCTAGTGCAGAGTTCAGTTTTTTGGGCTGGGTGCTCTCCATAGAGATGGCCTCTGGTGAGCCAGTGATGCTCATGAAACCATGCAGGTCCAACTTGAGGTGGATGCACCTGACAGACCTTGGGGATTGGGTAGTTGTGCCCACCAAACCCAAGATAGTGAACAACAAACTGGGCCCACTGGGGTGGGTCAGGGATGGTGCTGCTGTTTCTGTTGAGCTTGCTTTGTGCCTAGCAGGCCTTCCAGTTACAGTCAAGGACATGAAGCATTTGATTCAGGAGTTGGGTGGTGAAGTGCCAAGTGGCAACCCCAGTAGGAAAGAGGTTGAGAACATTCTCATGGAAATTGTGGTGCCAAGTGACAGGGCCAGTGAGGCCAAGGACAGCATGAAAAAACCACCTCCAGATGATGAAATAGACTCACAATTTTCAGAAGTGCTTTCAGAGATTGCCCAAGATGAGGCAAACAAACAAGAGATTCAAGACTTGAGGCAAAAGAAGAAGAGTGCTAGATTGAAAAGGCTGGGTGCAGAGAAAGACCAACCACTAGAGCAGCCCAAGAAAAAGCGCAAAGGAAAGGGCAAAGGTAAAGGTGCTGGAAAGAAAGGTACAAAAAGACCATTAGGTGAAAAATTCATCAGCCATGCTTTGAAGAGGAGGAAGGCATCACAGGAGAAAGGCCAGGTGACTGAGCCAGAGGTGAACCCCCAAGCATCATCATCCAGTGCAGCACCAACCTCAGGCCAAGCACCAGCTCCAGAGCAAGCACCAGCTCCAGAGCCAGCACCAGCCCCAAAGGAAGCACCAGCCCCACAGGTGAGAGCATCAGCTCCTAAGGTGTTCAGGAGCCCAGAGGAGATTTTGAATCAAATCACACCTGAAGGTGCCTTCATTGGCCTTAGCTCCAATGAGCACAGATGGACATCCAGGTTTCCCAGTAGTGACAAGAAACTTCAGGGTACAGAGTATTCAAAGGCAACCATGTCAGCCTCCTTTGCCTTGATCAGGCCTTGGAAGGAGGCTTTGCAGATGGTCCACCAGTTCAACTGGAATAAATTCATGTTGCTCAACCCTGGGTCTCCCCACCAGAACCCAGGGGAAATTCCAGAGCACATCTATGAAGGCCTGGAGGCAGTTATCAATTCATTGCCACCAGTCAAGCGCTACACCAAGGACACCTAGAGACATTTGTGCAAATGGCCACTGGGGAGCCCCCATTCATTGGATGAAGTGGCATGACAGCCAGGAAGGCCTACATTTGAAATTGAGCCAGCTGGCCATTTGAAAGGAAGCCATGAAAATCCTAGCCTGGCAGTGCAAATGGGAGGGCCCAGTGGAGAGATATGCAAGACATGAAAATGGAAACACTGCCACTTTACTTTGCTGTTTGTGTGTGTGTGCAAAGCACCATGGAGTACATGCCATGCTGTGTGCAAAGCAGTGCTGTGTGCAAAGCAATGCTGTGTTTGACCAGTGCTGGTAAGAGGTATTAAACTGTCATGGTGCAGGTGCCCTTGTGATGCAAGCATCCTGGCTGTGCATTTGTTTGTTTGTTTGTCTACTTTTGCTTTTGTTGGGTGGGGTGGGGCTTTCTTTTGATTTCCATTGGCTTCTTCATTTGAAGGAGCCTTTCTGCACCATACCTCTTGAAGAGGGCATTTAACTCCTGAAGGGTGTGTCTTTTTTGCTATCTCCTGAAGGAGATTGGTGTGGCAAGGTGTGTTTAAGGAGCTTGTGCACACCACACCTTTGAAAGTGGTCTGGAGGTTGCCTCTTTGACCATGGCTGAATGAAAAAAGGCTTTCTAGACTATTGCCCTCCACTTTGGGGAATCTGTGCATGTTTAAAAGAAGTGTTGTGGGATACAATAGGCTATTAGGCTATTATTAGCCTAATTAATGAATGTTCACAGGTGGGTTTTGTTTCAGAGCAAGTTCATCAGCCCTGGCAGGTGGAAGCGCCTTTGACACTTTGACACCTCACTTCGCTGAGAAAAAGGGGCTGGAACATTGCAGTTGCAATGGGGGTTTGGAGTGAGATGTGATTGGATGTAGTCTTGAGAACAATTTAGGTTTTCATGGGAGTATATTAGGATCTTGTGGGTTTCATTTAGCATTTCATCAGTTTTAGCCAGGTTCTTATGGGAATGCATTTGCACACCACCAATGCTGAAGAATCACCTTTTGAAGCAGTGTCAGCAGTAGATCCCTGATATATAGACGAAATAAAGATTGATGCGTAAGGACGAATTTTTGTGACAATTCCAGTGATGTTTTTGCTTCATTCTGCTAGCCGCTTTCGCTGATGTGTTACAACTCTTGCTCTCCTTGACTTTCCTGGACTCATCGTTACGGCTGGCTTTTCTGCTCATTACCATCACTGCTTCCACCTCCGTCTTATACTCATCCTCGCTCTTTCTGGTAACATGTTGAAACACAGACCAAACATGTAGGACTCTTGATTCTATTATAATTCACTCCCCAGGCCTAAAACAGTTCATGTTTCATCCATCATCCATTCCATCAACCGCAGCCACGCCAGGTCCACAGCTCCATGCGCCCCAGCGGTGAGGCCGGGAGATCCCGTCTTCGTGGCGACCGCGCATCGACGTGGGCTCGGGCGGGCTCGCTCTTTGGTCGAACTCAGTTCACCGACTGGATCTTTTGGATCTTTTAATTCTATTTATTTCTTGTTTCTAATAGCTTCTTGTTACTAGGAGTATGGCCAGGAGCCCCGTTCGTAGCGTCCTTGCTCCATTGAAATATATGATGGCAAGTAGGAGGGTTTGCTCTTTGATCAAAGTCAAGCAGGAGCGCTCAGGCAAAACAAAAAGAGAAAAGCGGAAGAAACGATGGACGGAAAGCTGGACTCCCGCGTGCCGTGCACAAGCAGGATGTCACTTGAGTAGACTCGTGGACATCTAAAACACCGAGAAAAAATATTTCTGAGCGCCAAGCGGAGGCAAAACACCCTTTGACGCCCCTCTGAGGACTTGGAGTCTCTGATGCTTTTGGAGATGACTCACACGGTGGGCACCGAGAACCGAGGAAGGAGGGAAGATCTGGAGACGTCCCTTTGAGGCCCAAGGAGAAGTTCTCCTTTTGTGAACGTCCATGGAATGTGTTCTTGTTCTGAACATCACATGCAGTACAAGAGGTTTGAGTAGCTAAAGTGGCGGTCAAATCTCCCAAGATGGTAGCTGAACATCGCGCGAGACAGTATGAGTAGACATCGGTGAGTCAGGGAGACGTTCCTCGTTAGGTTTGCAGGTGATCGGCAAGTTGGGCACATCTTTGTGCTTATCATGTACACGGGTAAGTGGACGATTGAACCCAGCGGCCCAGCCTGGTCGTCCCGCTTTGTTCCTTTCAGATGCTGAAACCATCCAATATGGTGGCAGTCTCCCCAAGTGTGTGAGTTGCCCATAGTTGTTCAATTCTCATCGGTTGTCGGATATTTTCGTCAATTTGGGGTGGGGAAGAACGCCAGGAGTGAAAACAACTCAGCAGGATAAATTCTCAAAGTACCTCGTTTGGGGCATGTCCCAGGTATGGAGAAAGGTACATAACTTCTGATTAGTCACTGGCCTCATCCCACTCTCCGCTGCCCACACGGCTCGTTGAAGCCCACTGGAGCCCAAGCGGCCTAGCCAGGTGAACCCGAACTGCCATTGCCCTTCAGTGCTGAATGGCTACCACAAACCAGCAAGGACCTCAGAGGATCACCTGGTCATTGTGGACGGAGAGCAGATGGCACGTTTGTGGGCCTCCCCAAGTAATTAGGGTGGATTATAAGGACCCCCATCCAAACGACATGTAAGAGGGTTGTTCCATTTGCCATCTACTCTGAAACCGCTGTATTTTTGGTCATGAAGCACAGCTGCTCCTGTCATGTTACAATGTGCGTCCTGAGAGTGATCGATCTCACGATGTGCGTCCATCACACAACACGTTCACAGACAGGAGGAAATCATCAGAAGTTATCACCAGAAGTAACACAGTTGAGAAGAACGTCAAGAGGTTTTACAATTTTGTGATGATGTCCTAGGGTGTTTTTGTGTATGATTTTTTTTGCTATGTTCATCTCCGAGTCAGGGCGACTAGGAAGTCTATTGAGATCTTGAGCCCTGAAGCAGGAGAAATCGACAGACTTTGTTTCTGGCGTCGAGAATCCTGTTGGATGCAGACCAAACTCTGCAGAGGCCTCAACAGTTGCAGTCCGCCTTGATAAACAACCGATGTTCCCTTGGGATTCCCTGTTTTCACTCCATCCATTTTGGGTTACTATGCGTCCAAACTCTTCAACCCCATACTTTGAAAGAGACCATGAAAGCCCGCAGCCTCCATGCCACAGGCCGATCGCGACTGCCTCCAGAACTGCTCCCGTGACTTGTTGCAAACAATTGTTGGAGGAGAAGTGGGGGCAGCTTAAAGTTCGAAACAAGGACTCGCACAATTGAGTCCAGTGTCTCAACTCCTTGCGTGTCCTTGCACTGTTTTGAGGCAGTTCTTTCGAAATTGCGATGATTTGATGCAGCCTTTGCCGATCCAATCCTGTAACATGAGACAACTGGATAGTGTAGAGCCCACACAGAGCACACTCTCTTCGGAAACCAGGAGGCAGACGTTTGGGGAGTGGGCACACGCAGTCCCGCATCGCATGATTTCTTTATAGTTTTTTCGTCCAGAACTGACATGACATGTCACCACAGTCAACGCAAGCGTTCTGTCCCGTGTTGTCAACAGCCCTTCCACTTGCGGGAGACTGGAGAGGAAACGTACATGCCACAAAAAGCGACCCCTTTGGAGATGCCTGATGCCTATCGTTTGGACATGTTTGGACCCGAGCACAAATCCATTACCAAATTGTCCCACATGTTTTCTGGTAGTGAAGGGACTTTGCCATACTTTGCCTAAATTGATGTGCTTGCTCACCAAAGGAACCCATACCAAGATTGAACACGCTTACTTTCAGTGAAGCTTGTAAGAGAAGGAGTACAGAACCCATCAGAACCCTGTGTTTCCATCAGCATAGGTGCTCAAGAATGACTGACTCGGGCAAGTTTGCGGTTGTAAGCCACTTTGCTGGCCCATGATATAAATCTATATAATTATACAGATGCCACCCCAAAACCATCCCAAAACCACCCATGAATGTCCTTGAACATCTTGAACTGGTCATGGACTATTCATGGGAGAAAACAAATGGTCCTGGTTCAGCTATGACTATGAAGAATCCAAGACCTCACGAATTGTTTCAACCCACAAAATGGTTTGGTGGATGTTCGTGGATGTCAGACAACCAAATCTGGTATGGAATGTGAAGATGCAGGTCGATTCAAAAACGCGTTACGGTTCGCGCTTGGGAGGCTGAGACCCATCCTGGATCCCGATGTACTGGCTGCGTCGGGAATGGTCAGTCATGGTAGATCGTTCCGGGTCACGCGGCAAGGTGCCTTTTACCTCTCGCAGATCCCTGGGCCACTTGGTTCGGCAGGGATGTCCAGGACACGACCTGAAGAAAAGAATTTCAAGAAGAAAGGAAGCCAGAACTTCTGGAATTACAAAATATATAAAATTAACAGATCATCCTCAAGTATTAGTTCTTGAAGGGGATCCCAAAAAAGAAGAGCCACACCAATGATCGCCATGGTCAAACCATGGCAGCACCATGCAGCACCCACCAATGATCGCCTTCAAAAAACCAACTGCAACAGAACTGGTTGGTGCTTTCATGTATGGTTTTACTGCTCAACCCTATTTGGGAATGACTACCTCGGTTGACCAATTTGGGGGAATGGTTAAATATAGTACAAGCACCATCCCCGAGCGACCCATGTGCTTCCAGGCCCAGAGTCTCGTTGAAGAACGGGCCACTGGTCTTCAATGAGCACGAGGAGTTGTGAACAATGGGCCTTGCCAATGGATCGGTGGTTCGATGAAGTGATTGTTGGTGCATGCCATTGCGTGCCGTGCAAAAGAATTCGCTCAAGGGAAGCCCTTCCGAGCAGAAAGTTCTGTGAGGATTCAAGGCTGCAAGAGTATGAATATGTCGCATTAGTTGCATTTGCACTTCTTGTGACATTGCCTTTGTGTACAGAAGAGTGTTGCCGGACCTGTTTGCAACGACCAGATAAAAACATGTTCACAGTACATCACCGTGGTTTGACAGCCCAGAGGGAGAACACTTCCACTACCTGGTCAGCGCAGAGAGCAAAGACTGCTGGATTGGCATCAGCAAAAGCACAGCTGGTGCGGCTGTAGATGAGTCGGACCACTCCGCCTGCTATGTTTGTACGCCTCATGTGGGTGGGTCAATGGGTCAATGGGTGCGGGGGGGAATCTTTGAGATGACATGTTCCAGCAACCAATTACCACATGTTTGTCAAGGATAGCAGTGGGGAGCGGATTTGGTCACGGCCATGGATTGGTCTCGTTTGTTCAGCCGTTCAAGCATGTTCCAGTGCAGCCCAGATCAAGCAGGTGTTCTGTGCCCCGACACTTAAAGGATGATCTAATATGGTGATGGATGCTACTTGGTTAGGCAGGAAGTAAAAGTATCCACATGTTAAGGTGTTCTCGACGTGATTTAACTTGTTATCAGTGGCAGAGAACGACAATGAACCACAATGACCCAGGATCAATAGTACAGTAGATCAATGCTCCAGCTCTTTTGATGACCACCCTCAGCACTTCGAACAACAGATTAAAGCTGTGTCTATACTATACATCCCTTCTGCATCCCTTGGTGACTGACCTACCAACCCTCATCCTGCCATGGGGAGTGGAGCTGCCAAAGGTAAAGCATCTCCTCGAGAGGCAAGCGGAGATGTGGGTTTGGCAGCACCAACGATCCAGGCTGCCATCGCTGGCAATCAAGAAGCTCAGGACGTCCTGAGGGAAAACGCCTGAAGCAGAGAGTTTTTTGAGAATTGTTGAAACACCTAAGGGGTACTGGCATGTTACAGGTGCAAAGGGAAAGCGTGATAATTGGTTTGTTCTCTTCACGCATTCAACTTATTCAATGGGTTTTTTTGACGTTGAACATCATTGAATCCCATTTCTGCACACCAAACTCAGTGACGTGTTTTTTCCGCATATAGTGGGTGGGATCAAAACCAAGTGAATGGACTTGCAGGGGTGTCAACCCTGGGAAATAGAAGTTTTGATCCTTGTCATTGTCCATGTGAGGTGTTTTCATGAGAGAGCCAATGTACATGTGTGCCCGTTTACGCTCCGACTCACTAACATGGAAGTGGAAAAAGACACCTGTTGGTAGAGGAAAGCAGTCTTCGAACTCACCATTTCCCACTTCCATGTGACAATGTTAGTGAGTCGGAGCGGTAGGACCTTTTCTTCAAGCAGCTCAACGACTTTGCAGCTGCTGGGATTCTTGGCTGCCTTCTGCCACCTTGGAAGAGCAGGAACATTCATGCAGATATTGAACGTAGATTTTGAGCATCCTTTTCAGCCCCTGAGGATGCTTCTTTGGGATAGAATAACAATACAGATCGGAGCAGTGGCTTGGCCTTCTTGGGCCAATTCGGTCCCAAACAGGTCGTCCAATCCAAGGGATGAACTGACAAATCCAGGCGCATCGAGGAGTGGTCACCTCTTGACAAATTCAGGAGTGGCTTTCCAAGAGCCCCCGGTTTACTGCGGGTGAAACACGCCCGTTCCAATTGAACTCCGTGGTAGAACCTGGGAAAAACGGGGTTCTAACGGGAGAACCCTGGCGGGAGCCCCACTTCCTGGACACCAACCTCGCCGGAGTAGTGGCAGCTCAGGAACAGCGGCGGCTTGAAGGCTCTCTTGCAGAAATGGCCCAAGGCGGCACAGAAACATGGAGCGAGGGAAGCCACCTGCGCAGCGGTGAAGCATGGGCAGGCTGAGGCGTTGAAGGCGCCAAGTTTGGGGGCGGAGGTGTGCTTGGATAGTATATTGATGTTGTTGCTGTTTGATCGTGGACGGTCCAGGACGTGATTCATCATGTCTCAAAGTAAATTTTAAAAAATATGAGTGAGAGAGCGAGAGAGACAGTGTATTTTTCGTCTGGAAAGTTGAAAACAGAAACCGTGTTGTTCCTTCCTCCTCACGTCTTGTTCGTTGGCCTTGTGGCTGTTCGATCCGTGAATGTTTGTCGATCCAGTGTGTCGATCCATTTGTTTCCAAGTAGAGCGCGGAGGATCACCAAGACTTTCAAGGAGGTTGGAAACCTGTTTATATTTGCCCCGCCATTTCTCAATTAAGGTGCCTACTTAATTAAGGAGAAGTAAACTACTAGCAATAGGAAGCTACTACATATGGACGCAGGATAGCTCACGCTTCTTCAAGGAAGCTCCCTCCGCGCGAGGGCGGGGAGCTTCCTTGAAGAAGCGCTGCCACTAATGATTTGGTTCCTGCATTTTTTGGGAAACTCAACTGCTGTGTCTGACTCACCTCGCTGTGTCCAGGCCTTGCTAGACGAGGGGGTGAGACCTTTCATTGGCAGGAACGATCCTGAGGTGGGAAGTGATCAGAGATGTGTTCCAGAGCCTATTTTGATAGGGAGATTCCCAGCAGTAGGAGTTTGCTGTTTCTGGATGTATGTTAGGAATTGAAGTTGGATCATGTTGCATATATATATATATACTGGTGCATTCTCTTGGAATCCACTGCAAAGACGCAGAAATCCAGTGGGAGCTCCGAAATAGGTCAGGTCAGTGAAATGTCAGGTCAGGTCAGGTCTCCCGACCTCTTTCGGATATTCGGGCACCCTCCTTCCTGATGTTTTTGAATGAGAGGATGTTATAAAGTCCAAGTTGACATGGTAAGCACTCTTTAGTTGAATCTTTTGTTGACGTCAGGATGCTGACCCTGCCGAGCTTTTTCGGGATGTCCTTGTTTCATCAGCTGTTGAGACTGTGCCCATACCCATAGGTTTGCACTCACAATGAACAGGGTTCCCCTGCCACACAAGATGTGAACCAAACCAAATCTGATCTCCCAAGTGAACATATTAAAGTTATTTAAGGAGGCAGCAGAGCAAAATGACAACGATTTGCAGTCATCCCCAAGTACAATTAGATAGAGTATGATAGAATATGGCACAATTGAAGGGAATGGCCATGTTCCTTTTGTCGACTCTTCCGCATTCTTTAATCGACTGTCCGGGATGGCCAGCCTCCTCACTGCCTGGGTGTCCAATCCACCCCTCAGATACCTTGGGATTGCCGACGCCTCAGGTGAATCCGTTGATCCATGCGGTGGAATTGAGAGAGTGGGATTGCATCGAAATGCTGGTGCCCCGTGCTTTGAAGTACAACTTCTCCACAGGACTTTTGCAGGAAGGAATGATGGACTTCGTGGTAGCTGGGAATATCGACATGATGCAGAAACTACTGGTGACCCACCAAATCCCAGGCCTCGGCGCGTCGCAGTTTCGCGCCGCTTTCGCGAGCAGTGCTTTTCGTTTTTTGCGCGGATCGGAGAATGGGAATCCCAGAGATCACACATGGTCACCCAGAGAAGTGATCTGATTTTATCCTCAACATCGCTTGACGTTGCTTCATAAGTTTGGAAAGGATCATACCTGTTCATTAAAGCCTGCCATTGGGATTGGACCTTCGAATGTGTTCAACATGTGCGGCCTGCAACAGGGAATGGCAAGCTGCTTTGTGCCGCATTGCTGCTGGGGCCGGAGGAGAAGGCGCATGCCATGGCCAGCGAGATCGTAGAGCACATCAAGGATCTCAGCCAGCCGAGCTCTGTGGAACCCAGCAACTTGGGAAACGCTCCAAGTTGGGAACGTTCAGAACGCATGACATGAAGGAACATGTTGAGGATTCTGGATTTTTGAGAGGGTGAAGTAAATGTGCGGCTCATGTGGATGTTTAAAGTTTAAGGGTGTGCTTCCGGCGTTCCAATGGAGATGTGAATTCGTTGATTGATTATATAAGTCTTTTCGTCTTCAACCGAAGGAAGCATCGACGATGCATGGAGCTGCCCGAGCTCCGCCCCGCCACCCTAGCCATCTGAGGCGAAGAGAAGTATCCACGGGGATGGGAAGAGTTTGCCCCAATCCACGCCGCCTGTCGGGCCCGAAAGGCCGCGCTGCTCCCCAACTTGTTGGAGTTCTTGCTGGGCCGCGGCGTGACGTTGTCGGAGTGGGGAAAGGAAAGGAGCCTTGGATCTCCTAAATAGAGATCCTCTGACTTCACTAACATGGAAGTGGGAAACGGTCCTTTGGAAGACTATTTGCCCTTTGGAAAAAAAGTTCCACTTCCACGTTAGGGAGTCAGAGTGTATCCTTTCAGCAAGCTGTTCTGTTCAACCCTGAAGTTGAGACCATCTCCTTGCTGTCCATAAAACTGCTCAGAAGATTCATGAAGAAATAGGATCAATATAAGTTGTAATCATGGTGTATCTTAAGTCCTGGCGTTATTCAAGGGCAGCATGATCTTGTGATTCCACGCGTGTGAGATGTGCAAACCCTTCTGCTGATGCCTTGATCTTGGGTTACAAGTGGGGGCAATGATGCCCATTGTGACCTCACTCAAAATAGCGAAAGACAAAGTCCGCTGGGGAACAACAACTCATGTTGAACAAGCTTGGCCAGCTTTAGTGTGGGGCTATGTCGAGGAGCCTGAAGACCAGCTTCGCGAAGCGTTTGCCGTTGCACTACGCGGCAGAGAACAAACACATGCCGCTCAAGGTGGCGAACCAGCTTGCTAAGCGGTTGGTGAGAAGGATAGTGGATGTGGGTCCAAACCCAAGCGCTATGAGCAAAGTCAGCTGAATACATTGGGTTTTTGGAGAGCAGGCAAGCCCGTTGGGCTTCCCTCTGAAATTCAACCCCTTTGGACAGAGAAGTACTGTAAGGTTTCCAACAGCAAAATTACCCACTCCTTTTCAACCCCCATTGACCAGAGAAATGTGCAATGCCCGTTGTTTTGGCATGGTGGGTTGGTACGTCTTCAATTGCAGCTTTAAAGGAGCGAGATAATTAGGTGTTTCTCAAAGGAGTAGACCAGTGATCCACTGGGTGTTCATCCCAAATTCTACTACCAGGCGCGTTTGTCCCAACTTCACAACCTCTTAAATAGACCCATGTCAACTTGCAGGCCTCATGCTAAGCATGTCCCACGCCCGCTGCACCCGATTCCACAGGTGGTGGAACAACTTGCAAAGGCCTACCCAGACGCCATGTTCGCACACGTGAACGACAGACCTGGGCGAAAGCTCCCGTGCCTTGGAGTGGAAGAAACATGTTGCTGTCCTCAACTGGCCTTACAAGAAGCTACGAACGTAACAGGTGCATCGCTAGTAGTAACAGGTGCCTTACTAGTAGTAACAATGTTTGCTATTAGAAACAAGTGCCTTACTAGTAACAATAAGAATTTAATTAGAATTGTAATTACTAGCAACATGTTTAACAAATACCTTTAACCAGGGGAGGACTCTTTGTTTCCTGTAGATGCCTGGATTCCTGACATTATCTAAATCAGTTGTGTTCTTTGTTTTGGTAAAAGTGCTGTTCCTTATGAAACCCAGATGCCAATGTGCCAGCCATAACGATGAGATGAAAGAACGCCTGGAAGAGCTCATGTATCAGCATGTGTGCAGCAGCTTTGACGCTTTGGGCAAGGATTCAGAAGGCGAGTACCTCAGCCGCAGGAGGTTGATGATTGAATTCCCCGATGACACCGACCTCTATGGTAGATAACTGGGATGTCCCTATACAATGCAGATCAACAGTCTTCGTTGCTTGCACTTCACAGGATAGCTATCCTGAGTCACGCTCTCCGCAATAAAATCTCAGAGTGCAAGATGGATAAGAGGAAAACATGCAGCCAGCAAGCACTTGCGGGTTGCAAATTCAAACTAATATGTTGCCACAAAGATACCTCAGTGCTGGATAAATTTCACGACCAGATGGCCTTATGGCTGTCACCGCTACTCAAATCTCTTGGCTCGACGTCGGGACAGGGGGCTGGTAGAGCCACGGGGTGAGTTTTCATCGTCGCCCCTGGGGGTTAGAGCCAGGAGTCGATTTGGGGTAGACAACAATCCTTAAAGGGTAGTTACCGGGTAGTTATATACAGTATTATACAGTATATGTTATGTATATATATATATACAATATGTGCATTATATATAACATCTATACATGTGTTCTTCTTATTTAAAGGGCTGTCAGTTTGAAGACACTGTATCATATCAGATGAAGTGCTCGATTTCGGGCCAACTGGACCGCTGGACCGGCGGTGAGGAAACCCTATCGACCACCCTGAAAGGAGAAAAACATGGTCACTGTTATTTGAGGTGTTGTTGGTTTCTCGGCCAAAACATAATCTGAAAGTGAAACGGGTTCTTCTTTGGTCCGATCCTGTTCTCTCCCTCAGGTACATTCGCTTGATCCGTTTAGCATTGCTCTTCGAGAAGGTTTGCTCCCTGCCGGACACCAAGCTCAGCCGCGGGAGCCTCTCCTTCGTGGTGGAGAGCCTTCTGCCCAAGAAGCTGGAGGTAGAGACGGCAGAGTCTGTTTGACAACATCTCATGTTTAATAGAGAGACCCCCTGGCTCAATGGGTTTTGGTCGTTTTCCCTTCTTCCAATTTCTTTCCTAGATCTCCACATGTCTGTTCTTCTTGACTTCACAAGTTTGAGCTGAATGATGGTTTGGGATATCTCTTTTTGATGCACAGCAAAATCCTCTACTCGACCGTTCCCCTTATCATCCCCAGTAGTTCAGAAATGGGTCGCCCTGCCAGTAGTTCAACAAGGTTGTTTGGTCTCCATTGGTTTACGGATTCATACACTTTATTTATGATTTGGGGGGTTGATGGGCCACTGTGACTGTCGATAGACAGTGCAGAACACGGCCGATCATCCTGTTTTCGTGCAGCACGTCAATTCTGATATGTCCTGACTCATGAATGATTACAACCAGTGCGACAACAAAGATGTACAATGATCCCCATTTGACGTGATAGCTGCATCACCCTGGACCCTTGAAACAAGACAAGCAAGACTACTGCTATTTCGAATTACCAGGATTGTTTGGTCATGGGGTGCACCAGGGTTACTCATCTGATCTCGTATATGTATTTGTTTGTAGATTGAGAGAGAGAGAGAGAGACCAGCAGATGGTTCTATTTGTCCAACCCGCGCTTGGGGACTCACATCCACCGCCTTCTCGCCAGGCTCAGGCGAGCTCGGCCGACGTGGACTTCAGCGCCGAGGCCGTGCGCTTCGCAGAGGCGAACCCGAGGGTGGACCTGGGCAGAGACTCTGCGGCCAAGGTGAAGGTCAAGAGCATCGCAGATATCGGGCAGGTGGGGAGATCCGGAGGGGTCGGTGAAACACGACATGAAACATGAGAGGTCGGTGAACATATAAAATGTGCCGATGCGATTGTGGAGATGTTGCCATTCATCCAAGGCTTTTGAATATGTTGTTTGGTTCCCGCCGCGTCGATTTGTTAAGGGTGATGGATGTTCGTGTGTGGCAGAGATAGCACATGGTTGACAGAAGGATATGGAGATGGTCTGTGAAATGTATGGCAAGGGTTGGTTATGAGGGAAGTTCGGCCAGCGATGATTTCGTTTTCGACAGGTCCCATGACATGTTGGGCCATGACATGGGAGAACTTCTGCACGTTTGGGACAAACGTTTGAGAAACCGCCGCCGCTGATGCCGCAGATGCTAAGGTCTTGAAGAGTGATTTCTGGGAGTTGCTGAAGTTAGTGGAGCATTGTGGTGAAATGGTGTCGGACCTTTCACAGTTCCGGCAGATGCTTTGCTACGAGCTGGAGTCGCGGTTGAAATGGGTGAGTCAACAAGCGCAAGCTGGGAAAAGTGAAACCTTAAGCGACCAGGTCCGCTATGGCATGTTCGTGTTTGCAGGGCTGATTGCAGAGGTTCTCACGGCGCCCGCAGACGAAGAGGGTGAAGCGGGTGAAGAGAAAGGTGCTGACTCCGTCCTTTCGTCTGTGGCCAGTAGCTTTGCCTCCAGTGAGCTATTGGAAGTCGTTGTTGCAGCCTACTGTAAGGATCGGGGAAAGTCATGACATCCAACAATGAGGGGATGGGCCTTATATACAAATACACATAAATGTCTGTGTTGGGAATTCAGAGTGATCGAGAACCCTAGGCCCTAGACCAACTATGAATTATGCAGTCGTATGTCCCATGACAATGACTGAACCACTCTAAACCACTGGCAGCTCGCATGCAGGAGCTTCAAATTCCCAGTGCTTGGAACTTATTGGGGATTCTGCAGGAAGGACTGATGGGCCAGGGAATCAAAGCCATTGTCTTTTCCGGCGGCGATTTGGTGATCAAGCAGACAATGCTTCCAGGCAGCCCTCGCTTCGATTGGGTGCAAGGCTTATTCGAGAACACCTTCCTAAAGCGCTACACGCGAGATCGAAGAGGAGGAAAAGTTCCAGAGGCCTTGGAGGTGAAGGAGCTTGAACAGGTGCCTGTGCTGCTAGGGTGGCAGACATTCACTTTTTCACATTCAGATATCAGATGCATGAACCATCAAGGGGCTGGGCATGGCTGAACATACGTACAACTGCACACCATACATCAGGCCAGGGTTGCACAACAGATTTAGTGCATTGAGTGATCACTTGAATCCATTGAATCCAATGGTTGCACCATGTTGCACCCTATGCTCGATCAAAATATGTCCCAGCACCACTTAGAGTGCAAAGCCTGTGATGTGTTTTTCCATGTCAGGTCATTCTCCAGGAATCCCTTTGTCAGATGGAAACTGCAAACTGCCGTCAGAGACCCCACAGCCCAACCTGTGGCACCATTCGTGGAGCCCAGCGAAGCAAAACATGGCCTACTCCGCTGACGTTCACCACTCAAATTGGGCCACACTGACTGGCAGAGACAACACAACCCCAACGATTTGCACCCTGATGTAGGGGACCTTCAACTGAATAGATCCAACAAAAGAACCGATCATGTTTCATACTATGATTGTACTGGGTTGTCACGTTGTGTCATTTTGGTACCTGCAACTCGTCCACCGGAATTCCCAGACGCCAGAATGGTAGCTGTGATTCGTGCAGCGTAGCAATTGTTCAATCGTCCGCGATGCTGTCACAGTGAATGAGTTACATTGGGGTTGCAAAGCAGTAGAAACTTGCTCATTGGGCACTGCAACGCCACGAGTATCCTCAGTGAGTCCGTCAGTGATACTCGGGGCCGTGCCCGAGCACACTGTGCTTGACTAGATGAGTGAGACCAAATCGCCTCAAACTGGGCTGAGTCGGAGAGTCTCATGGAGTTGGTCTAGGCCCTGAAACAGGCCGCAACGGTCAAGGTGTTTCGTTTGTGGTGCAACGGAGCCGATGCAACACATCGCCGTCGCTGTCCCCCGACCATTCAGACCCACCAGGCTTTCACACATCGCTGTGAGATCAGACCACGCACCCCGTTTTTGGTTTGAATGCCGGGCAGCGCTAAGCAGTCAATGGGGGCCACCGACTTTCCAAGTGAGCAATGAGTCCACTTTTATGAGGGTACCATAAATATCATGAAATTCATTCTGGAAGGACCTGCAAGTGACTGGAAGGACGGGAGATTCATTTTGTAATTCCATTGGACTGGTCCTGCGTTTCACCTTCAGGTCCTTGTGACACATCATGGGTGTTTACTTATGTTTACTTGCATTAGAATATATCAGCTGCCTCTTGGGGACTGTAGGACGCCTGTGCCAACCTCACTTTCAAAGCATGTCTATTGAACACGCAAAGCTTGCACACACCTTGAACCTCAAAGGGCTGATTTCTTGGCAGGCGCAACATGGCGCAACATTTTGTGAACCTCAAAGGGCCATATGTGCTGTCATGTGTGCGCTCTCAAACGTGTGCTCTCACACATGTGCCCTCATATGTGTGCTCTCATGTGTGTGTGTGTTCTCATACCAGTGCTCTCACATGTATGCTATTTTGTGTATGCATTTCTGTGTGCTCTCTCATGCCTGCGCTCTCATATGATTGCTCTTGTGTGTGTGTGTGTTTGCTCTCACCGTGCTCGCATCTCTGTGCTTTTAGATGTGTCTTCTCACGTGCGTGCTCTGACATTTGTGCTCTTTTATGTATGCTCCCATGTGTGTGTGTGTGTGTGGGTGGTTGCTCTCCTGTATTTAATATGTGTGCTCTCTCACACCTGTGCTCTCACATGTGTGCTCTCGCAGGCCGGTGCTCTCATTTGTGCGCTCTCATTACGTGTGATCTCGTGTGTGTGTGTGTAACCCTTGGAATCACAGGGATCCTTTCGGATTGTTTTGCTTTATGTTCGCTTTGAATTTTCAGCAGGGGGCCCATGGACACTTGGATGGCATGGGCCAACGAAGACCCATCCAAGCTGTCGTGAAAACGTACCTGCTTGGTGCACCTGGGCGCATTATAAGACGCAGCTGGTGGCCACCCTTCTTCCTTTTGTAAAGTGCTAGTGAGCTCCGCAGACTTGCACGCCACGACGTCATCTTGTCGGTTCGTCGCTCGTCTTTTTCCCTTTGGGCCATACTTCCTCTGGAAGACCTCCAGGATCCAGTGGTTTATACGTGTACCCTTAGGAAATGAAATCCTAGGCCGGCGTGTGGCACCGCTTTCAGTTCAGTACACCCTATCCTAAGTGTGTTTGGCCTCGTGCCAACCCGGGATGAGCCCGCAGAGTGCCTCCCGTGGACCCGTCGAACGGGTGTAGGTCGAACGTATCCACTGCCCGGATACAGAGCAGCTCGCAGCGAGCGTAGGTGGCCTAGGCCGTACGTACGATGATTTTGTCCCATCTTTGGAATTCTAAGTTGGCTCATGCCTTTACGTGACCGTAGCGGTCAAAGATGGCAGCCCCCTGGGCAAGCCGTACGTGGTCGCAGCGACCGAAGTCTGTTCAAGGTTCATTGGAACCTGTGGGAGCCTTACCCCTCCTTTATGGACTACATTACCTCACCACACCTTCAGGTGCAAGTTCGAGGACTTGACTCGGCGATTCGACAGGCGACTCAGGCAGTTCATACTGGCGTGCACTACATCCAGGAACTCCTCACCACCTTTGGCACGATGCACGCTTTGACCTGTGACACTGCTCAACTTGACGCTGAACTACGTGGACGTTCGATTTTTCCTGACCCTCGCCTTCCCTCTGTCCCTCCTCCTCCTTTGGGCTCTCCTACGACTCGACGTATGACATCTACCAGTTCCATTCCGGCTGAACCAACGATCCCTCCACCGAGGACTCCTATGGGTCGTCCTCCACCTGGTATTGTGGTTACCACTTCGAACCGGACTCTCTCCACCGCCGAGTTACGATCCAGCACTGCTCGCTCGCGCTCTCGGTCTCACTCTCAGACGTACCCGAGGAATCTTTAAACTGCTCCATCGCTCATTGCGCCACTCACGAGAAAATGTCCACCTACGCTTCCTTTTGTAATGCCATTTTGTTCATTTTGATTTGTGACACACTCTCTTGACTCAATACTTTTGACCCTTTCGGCTTTTAGCCTTTCCCACGCCCTACGCCTTTCCGGTCTCGTACGTTTTGTTTGTCTCGCCGCCATGTCTACACCGTCTACGACGACATCGACTCGTCCTACGGGATTGGCACCCATCGCCGGCTTACCTCCTGCCGCTCATGAAGTACTTCATCGTGAACGTCTTCATATACATTCTTCTTTACACTTGATTCTCCTGATCCTACGTGGACCTTGGGATACCGTCACTCCATCTATTGTGGACACGATCACTAGCCCCCGTCTTCGTACCACTCTCCGCGCCCTCGAGACCAGCATTGAACAGATTCGACGATCTACCTGCACTACACTGGTATACACTGATGAACTATGCTCCGCTTTGACACTTCCACATCCTACTGGCCGCTTGGTTTCCTCTTCCAACTCCTTTTCTTCATCTATGGCCTTTCCTCGTGTTCTCATCTCTCCTCCCTCTCCACCCTCGACGACTACGACGACGACTACCACTGACCCCTCTCCTCCTCAGGTCACTCATACTCCCCTCCCTCCTTCGAATCCTGCTTTGACCTTGACGAGAATGCCACGTTCTCGCTCACCTTCTCGTTCACGTTCCCCTGCGAGACGCTTCCGATTTTAGTTGGATCTCTCACTTGCCCGACCATTTTTGGGTTTCGGCAGTACAAAAGACCTTTTCTTTCTTTTTCCGGATGTCAGCTTGATCACCACATTTGGATCTCTTCGACATTGATACTCCTTTATTCTGTTCCTATTCTTGGGCTCACCAGTGACCGCCCGTTTCGCCCCCTTGTTTCTCGCCTCCTTTTCTGCCATGGCTTCGGCATCTACACCACCCTGTGGTCTAGCTCCGATTCCAGGCCTTCCACTTCGTGCTCAAGCAATGCTACATCGTGAACTTCTACTTGTACATGTTCTCTTGGCCCAGATCCATTCACTGTTGCATATCCCACTCTGCATTCGCACCCTTCCATTCATGTATCGGGTGACACACCCACAACTTCGCGCTCAACTTGAAGGATTGGACAATACGCTCCTTCTTGCTCTTCGCCTCAACCACACTGCCGTCCACTACACCCACGAGCTCCTCACTGCCTTGGGCCTCCTTCATATCACTCAACAGAGCCCGGAACAACTTGAAGACGAACTTGAAGGTCGCACAGACTTTGGTGATCGCGCATCCCTTTCCACACCTCCTGCTCTACCCCACTCTACTACGACTTCATCGAGGACCACCAGGACCCACAACACCGGGAACAGGATGCCTCCCTCTTCTGACCCTCCGTCCTCTCGCCATGCACCTCGGCCTCGTCTTCACATGCGCTCGAGATCTCGCTCTCGACCTCGTTCGACCAGGTCCTAGCTTCTCTGTTTCACCCTGCACTTTGCCAGACGCAGCAAAAAGGGACAAACTATCTTTGGCTTTATTGCGATGACACCTTCTTTTCACGGCTGATTTGCACCTTATTATTCCCTTTTGGGCTCCAGACTTTGAGACATGCATATCCACAAGATGATTTTCCATCCTTCACATCTCACCCACAATCTTCCTTTTCTTAGTTGTTAATCCTTTTGAGAGTAACGTTTTTGGGCGACTACCTGCCTCATGGCGAGCTCTGGTTCTTCTCCGGAATCCAATCGCCCTCATCGACGACGTGATCTTGGTCGCGCCTCTCGTTCACCGGATACGATGCCTCACACGCACATCGAGGAAGTCGACTATGATGCTGATGAAAACAATCCCCTACCATCCATCAACCCACCACCTGGCAGAGAGACAAGCGTAGGGCCCTGCCAGTAGAAAACACTCAATTTCTTCTGTCACTTGTTTACTTTGTATTATTTACATCGCAACTCTTGCGTTGATTCACACTTGGCTCTGGATTTCCGATCTCACCTTTGTATTGCCCTCACCCTTACGCTATGAGTCGACCACCCTCCCCTACCCGGTCCCATCCACGTGGTCTCAC